ATATTATACTATTTAGATACAGCAAAAAAAATGCTGCACATGAGTCGAGAGCGCAGCCATGTTTGTGTTTTGATGTGTGTGACTGCTGACAACAATAGTGTTACAGTACACCTAAAGGGCTCAGGATGCATACAGTCACCATGTGGACCAAGCCACTGATATTAACACTGACAGTATAATGGGCCTGATGGCTTTCTGCCTCCAGCATCTCGCGGTGACAGCACTGAAGTACACGGAGGGAGAGCGAGCGTTTGCAGTTGATGAGTAGCGATGGTGTGCGAGGTCTCCGCTAGATTATCATCTGTTGGCTGGGATCTGATATTGAGGGGAAGTCGGCATCAAAGGCGCTGTCGAAGCTTCATCAAGGAACCTGCCTCTCCGTCTAACTTTCTCTCTCCCTCCCTACAACTGTACACACACACACACACACACTATACTGTACACACTGTCTTTCTCTTCTGCTTTCTAACAAGTACGCAGACATACATTCATGTGTAGCCGGCAGGAATTAAAGAACACGTAGGAATCACTGTACACTCACACACTCTCAGGGCCAAGCCCATGGCAGGAGAACTCGGTGTGAACCCTATGGAGAGAGATGTCAAGATGACAGACCAGATAAACCAAATGAATGCAGAGTTTTCTGCACAGCAGATCGGAAAACAAGACACTTCTGTGCTCGCTGAGTGACTACATGCTACTGTTTATTTTGGGCTGGAGAATGTAATTATTTGGCTGCCACTGCTGCTGTTGGTGTTATTAATCAGTTATACTCTCTGCTGGAAGCTGTTCAATATGATTTTTTGGAGGGGTGGGTGGCGGATGAGGGGATCCAGTGCTCTCAGAACATCAGATAAAAGCCTTTGTTCTGTTCAGATGTGCAAACAAAAGTAGATCAGTGCAGCTTCTTTGAATGATTTTTTAGCTTTTTAGCTGATTTTGAATTGTGTTGAATCTTAAATATGACTTTTAAGCGCAATTATGCAAAGAGCACGTTGATTACACAAAAGGGGTTTTCAAAGTGGTGCCCACCTGAGGGAGGTGATTTGATGTTAGTTTGAGTGAAGTATGTTAAAGTTGGCGTACAGTCAGAACACAGTCAAGACTCATAATGTAAGAAAATTAATACCTTAATAACATAATTAATACACTTACATTTTCTGTCAGATAAAGAAACAGTGCCTTACAAGATCTTTTGAGTAACATTCTAAATGTGTGAACAACTAAATCCTGTTCACACAAGATAATTAAATCAAAAACAGTGAAGTAATCCATTAGCTAACATTCATGCATGAATATAACACTATGCTTCTAAAATGTAAAGATTTGCTGCTTTTCTCAGACTCATCCTCAGCATATTTGCCTTTATTGCTACTAGTCTCACCTAGCTCGCCATTTCTGTAGAACATAATGGTCTGGCTGCACCTCACTATCATTCTCAGGGGAAAAACCCGCCCTGCTTGTTTGTACTTCTTTAAAGCAATCAGAGTCATTTCGGCTGGAACTAAGCAAAGGATGTGGCTTCTGTGGCCCCTTAAAATATTGAAGGGTGGAATTGTTTTTGTGGAACATTTAGGAAGCTGAACAGTCATTAAAATGGATAATCCACTGAAATAGGCAGGGCTGCATTACTACATGATCCAAATCCTGAACAAAACTTGAAATTGTCAGTGTGGTAAGTTGCTACTCGGAGGATGATGATGTTGCTCCTCATAGCAAAGTGGATTTTGAAAATGCTAGCACGCAGATAGCGAACGGAGAGGAGGAAGTCGTCTGAAATAAGTGGCCAATGGCAAACTTTAAGAGTCAGACTAATGACTACTGGTTGGATACAACAAATAATTTCAGGACCTAATCTTAGGGTCTAAGAAACGGATTTCACTATTTTTCTAAAAAGTTTTGGATACCGAATTCATTAATATCTAAAATGAATAAATCAAGAATTAAATTTTTTTTTTCTTTTATAAAGGTGTTGCAAAAAAAGGAACTCTCTCTCTCTGTCTCTGTCTCTCACCAACATATTTTCTGGTGTCCACGTGAAATTATGCTCCCCTCAGCCGGGCTCATGTGGCTCCAGCCACCTGTTAATTGTCGTGCCCATGAATGTCCCATCGGGCCCAATGTGGTTTGCAGCTGTGCTTTGATAAGAACAGCTTTACGCAAATGAACTGCAGGTCAGAATGACTATAAAAGTGCTAAAACAAACATGTTTACAAGGGGTTCAAGGGAATTGGGCACTCAAACCTATGGGTTATCACTAAAGCTAACTTGCTGTAGAATGTTTTAGTTGATTGTTTATTTATTAATTTGTTCATGTTCAACCTGTCTATTACTTGTAGCCAGTAAGAAGCGCAGAAGAGATAAATGGGTAGATGGCAAAATGCTTCATACAAGTAGTAAAGAACTGGGAAGTAAGCTGTTGGTTTATACAGATTTAGCCCAGCGGTGGTCTCTATTAGGTACTGAGCTAAGTAGCGTTCTCTTTTAATACCACCCAGTTTTCTACGTGAAGGAAATGTAAGAATATGCACTTACAAAGCTGACAGATTTTTCAATTTCTGGTCAAAAACTGCATCTGTTTAGTGTGTGATAAACTGGGTACACACTTTAATCTCCCCACAACCAAAGATAGGCTCTGAAGTTTCAGTTTGTGTTCACTCCTAAATAACCTACTCCGTTTGCACCCTGATATGTCTAGATATACGGCTGGATTTGGTGTGCTGTGATGATAGCAGAACAGAAAAAGTGGCGCTCAGTATAGCTGAGAAGCTGTTTTTTTTTCTCTCTCCTTTTTTTTGCATCATCTGGACCGTGATAAGAACCACCGTCCGTGAGATGACGATAACCACAGTTGTATTAATTTCAGCTCTGCACCTCTGACTTTTTATGTTGGAAGATTCAGGCACCAAAAACACATCCTCTGCCAAAAGATTGTCTGCATCTGGTGCTGCCAGCTACTCTGCAGTTTCGACACCAGTTTGATCATCTGTTCTGAATTTGAAATGCTCCTCACTTAAAATTTTCACCTTGAGGGCTTCTGCCAAGCCACTGGTCACGAAGCCTCTCCCTGCTCCGCCTTCCCTGATGTGAGTGTGTGTGTGTGTGTGTGTTTGCTCACTATGGGCTGGCAGTAAGTGTTATTCTGCCTTTGTGCATGCATGTGTGTATTTATGCATACTGTATGCCTGGGGGAAAAGAGAGTGCGTACTGTATGTGTGAGGAAATGTGTGCACCAAGCGCACATTAACACCCTCTCAATGTCAATGACTCCTTCTAGTCTGGAAAGTCAGTGAGCCACTGATGGACCATAACTGTCCATGTGAGTAGAGCAGCGGTGTGTGCGTGCCAGAGACAAGGTGACACATGAAATGGTTCCCTGATGACTGACGGCCAAAGCCAAACGTCCTGACCTCACTTATGGTCAGTCGCTCCTATAGGGGTGACTGTGAATATGTGACACAAACACATGAAGTCCAGACTAAACACAAAACCAGAGCGATCACCCCACTAATGTGCTGCTGAATGATTCCTTATAAAACTCTAATTCCTCACTTTAGGGTTTCTGTATAAACACATTCTGCTGAGCGTGGACCAACACTCTCCTGTCACTAAAATGAATACACGGTAGGCTTAGCTTATGCAATCTCTCTCCTTTTGTGTCAAAACACACACAGTCCAGAGTAATTGCCCCACCGTGCCTCCACCTGTGTTTACAGTGAAAACATAATACTCTGTCCTCTTCTTCAATACATTTTGAATCAAACTGCCCCTCCACCCGACAGCGAATATGTAAAAAAAAAAAAAAAACTTCACTGCTCAGTAGCTCGGTAAAGCCCCCATCAAAGGTCTTTGTTGCTGCAAGCCAGAGGCCAACCTTCCCGTCTCCAAGGCACTTATCTTGTCCATGCTGAAAAATGGCTGAAAGAAGGTTTTGTGACAAATAATGAGCGGAATAGGTCTTTATTGGTCTCAAGGAGAGTTTTTCAGTTGCATATTATAACTAATACAGCCTGAACAAAGGCTGTGCAGAGTCCTTCAGGAGCTTGTTTATCACATTTATTGTAAAGCTGCTCATTTATTCTGGTTCATACAGTGATCACAATATTTAAAAGGGGAGCTTGATTATTCTTAATTATCTTTTTGTCCTATTCTCTTTTTGTTTGACTAGTTCAAAGGATGAATAATTCCTTCCACTTGTGGTAATTAAAGGTGAGGGTTCACCTAAGAGACCTTTAATACACAGCAGCGAGACATGAACAGACGTAGCACACAAACACACTTTCTATGCACATGCTCTGAGAGTACACACACTGGGACAATGTTCACAGTCATGAGAAATCAGAAAAGCTCACAACTGCTGCCCCCGGGCCGGTTTTCACGCAGACACGAGAGAGACGCGAGAGCAGGATTTTTCACAGAGGAACAGGCTTTTGTGTGAATGAACAAAGGGAATCTCCTTCCTCCCGTGCTCCTCTCTAACCTAAATCCTATCATGTGCCACCATGGGTCTCCCACACGCCTGTTTCCAAGTTACCGGCAGCGTCGGCTGCCAATCCCGCTTAATTGCCTCCTGTGTAAAGTGACGGCTGAGGAGCGGCGGTAAGAGCGCGAGCTGTCCTCGCCTTTTCCTGCAGCTCACTCTCTGCTACCTTGCCAAAGGAGAGACTCCAAATGAGAATTATACTGTACACCTTTGGGAAATTACACAGCACTGTTGACCTGTAGTGAAACTTGGGTAACCAAGCGGAAGACTTGCTGTATGAAAAAAGCAATATCATTAAAATGTAACTGTGGGACTTTTAATTTTGAGAAAGAAAATGTTCTCAATTTAGAAAACTGCTCTGTGAGGACAGTTAATTAAAGCTCTAAGAGAAGGATGGAAAGCACATGAATGTGAAATGTTTTGATAAGAAATGTCTTGCTGGAAGTAAAAAGTAAAGAACAGAGGCACAACAGCAGGCAGTTTTGTTTTAACGATAACCAGCTTTTCCCTTACTAACCTTGCTCGAGCCTGGAGAAAAAGAAAAGATCTTCTCGCTCACTCCCGCTCGCAGAATTTACCACCCTGTTGCTCCTTGTTCCCTCTTCCTTTGTTGTGTCTTCCTCACAAATAGATCCTCCTCATCCTTGGGACTGGGGCTGGAATTAACAGCTCATGAGGGAAGCCAGGCGGAAGAGAAAGAAAACACACCAGAGAAGAAAAGAAACACACTCTTCTCACCCCTAAGTCCTCCTTGGCAGTGTATCCCCATCCGTCAGAGCACAGCGACTGAGTGTGTGAGAACGAGAGTGAGAGAGAGAGAGTGAGAGAGAGAGAGATGAAATGATACTAAGTGGGCGAGTCAGAGAGAAAGTGAGAGAGGGAGGGAGAGAGGGAGAGACTGTACGTATGCACTGGAGGGTGATCCTCTGTACTGAATGAGCTCCTGTTTATCTCCCGGTCTGTCTCCTCTGCATGCATTCCTTCCCGACAGAAGCCACAAGGTCAGCTGCTTTTACAGTAACAAGACTTGGTTAGCTCTTGAGGGAAAAGACTTCCTGTTAGCGCTCCGCTCAACTTCCCTCATGAGTGAAATCGCCTAGAGTTTTGTGCCTTTTAAAATCCCCCCTCTCTCTCTTTGCACACATTTTAGCACGAGTTAATCTAATCTCTTCTCTCCCAACGCTGCCTGTCCAGAGGTTATTCCGACTGACAAGGAGTCTGCTGCAATTTAATTTCGGATACTCACTGTACAAATAAACAAACAAACAGAAGCGGGCTTCTGCATGTTTAGCAGATACTGTTCCAATTTGCAAGTATAAAGAACACAAAAGCACAATTAGGCGATTCATTGCCTGAAGACAGAATTGTATGGCTTGTACACATGGGAGGAAATTGTTCTCAAAGTATTTGATCAGTGGAAATGGAGAGAGAAACACAACAGTGAGCCTAATCTACAGTGTAGAGTTGAGACAGATAGTGGATAGACACGAAACGAATCGGGAAATATGAAGCTATTCTTTGTAAAATCTGATCAGCTAAACATCTTTGACTTTAAACTGTTCGGCAATCTGAATATCTCATCTTGGACTCTGGAAACCATTTTTCAAAAGAACATAAAATTATGAATTTGTTCAGAAAAGAATGATTAGACGAATCGCGATCATAATGCTGAAACCATTAGGGAGTTAATCGATTAGCTGACAGCAGGAAAATTTGAATTTCGATCAATTTATTCACGTAATTCAAAAATTAAAAAAAGACTCAATATTTGCTGCCTTCAGCTTGTTAAATGTTAAATAAAAATGATGAATTGATAACGGTTCTATGGTTCGATATGGTTAATTGCAGTCGCATTGCATCGACGTGAAAATGTTAATGAGATGGTTCAACATGCATCGGCTAACAGATTTGCATGTTAATGTGACAATGGGTGAATTACCATCACCTCCTGGCTGTGTTATAGGGCAGAGTTTAATTAAAAACTTTTGGTAGGCCTGGATTCATGTCACTAAAGGACAAACTAGTCAGAAGTGCTGTTTTTGTAACATCTACAGGCGTAAAGAGAAACCGGTATCGTCACTGGTGACTTGCAAGTGCAGCACAGCCTGTATGTATGGAAACATGCTCTATGATAGTCTGACTTTCTTCTCTGCTCTCCAGGTTCCTGGTGTGACATGGCTGCCAGAGAGTCTAAGTGCCTCCCCCGAGTACAGTGAACACTGGATCAATATGCGCATGAAGTGGCAGATCAATCGGGTCGCAGACATCAGCGAGAGGTGATTCAGGGGCCAATCTGACAGCTTCCTCAATTATGTTGGTAAAGTGTCAGAAAGCAACGAATCACACGGACTGACGCGCACATCACAGTGACAGAAACCCTCCGTCGGATGGCGGATGAAGTGATTCTCCAAAGTGGGGAAAGGAAGGGTATGAGCATATGGTCGTGTCATCTTGACGCTGCACGTTCGCCCACTGACCGGGTGAGCAAGAGGTGATCCCGTGGAGCTCTGTGGGTACTGAGCTGTTTGGACTGGCGGGTGTTGCTCCCAGACACATGGCTTACATGCAGCAGGAGGAGGGAGCTCTGGAAAGGTCCAGTTTCTGTCAGAGGGAGGACAAGCTGACGTGGGAGGCCTGAGGTCGATCTTGTGGCGATCAGGCTGTATGATGTTCAGCCAGGAGGGAGGGGGAAGTATGCACAGAAGCGATATCATTTCTTTCACATTTGTGTGTTTGTGTCTCTGCATGCAGAGTTTGCGAGCAGAGCCATAACTACTCATAGCTAGTCATTTCCGATCCAGCACAGTCACCCGCATGCCTTCTCTATGTGCTGTTCTCACAATATTCACTGCAACTGCTTCACAAGTGAGGTAACCGGCCTGAATCTGTTTTGTTTTTTGTTTTTTTAAATCCTATTGCATTTGCACTGCGTGAAAACTAAAAACCATAAACATGAAACCAGCACAAAACCATAAAACATAATTTTATTTGTCACAGAAAAGAACCGTGATGAAATTCTTTCTGGAATTGATGTTTTTTTATGGAACACTCATCCACAGTGCCAGATAGTAAATATTATACATTTCCCTTACAACTCTTATGAAATATTGAGTGTCATGAAATGTACTCGGAAAATGAGGTCATGATAAATGAATGCAAAGCGGGGAAGCTACGTGGATAGTTCGCTGACGGCACTTAGTCACAAGATAATGCCTGTGATGACTGTATATCAGACAGACTGATGTCTTTCGTACTGTAAATAGACCAGCCATTTTTTTTTTTGCAGTGGCTAAACAAAGGATAGAATTTCACCTCCATGTGTGCCTCCTCTGTCAATTACAGATTACACAGTTTGTCAGTGACTATGGTTGAGTGCAGGGTCATAAGCTCCTTGCTCGAACTGTCTTCCATGCAGCCTGGTTCAGTAATAATGAGCGTTGAGGTGTTCATCACCTCTATCATACCTGCGCCTTCTTACAGATGGAATTGAAATTTTCCTCCGCGGTTCCCTTTTCTATTAGAGGCCCCTCCCTCCGCTGGGAGATTCAAATGATAGGAGCTACTCCGTCGAGCGTGGCCTTTTCTCCTTTTAGCCAAGCTCCAGGAGATTTCTTTGAATCTTTTTAGGAGGCTCCATAACTGTAGAGGATCAGCTTACATGGTCCACCATTAAAACTCCATGGTATTTGATACAGCTGTGACTTTGAATCTTCAAAAAAAGACAGATTTCAACTTAGCATTATATGGTCCAAGTGCAAGAAAATGACTTTTTGAATAGGCTTGTCTGTATTTTTACTATTTTTTTTTTCACTTTTTCTCTCCGGGATATCTTTCCCTTCTGCAACACCCGCCTCTGAAGTATGGTTATTTTTATTTTTTTATTTTTTGTCGAAAATTTGAAATGGTGGTTTTTAGAAAGAGTTTAGGTTCTTATGCAAAATGTAGCTCAGCCATGAGTAAGTGTCCTGCAGCTGATGCGGTGTAGTCCCATGGCAATAAAGTGAGTGAATGTTGTTGTCAAGCTTTTCTCAGGGGCCCTGCTTAAGCGCACTAGATAGAGGTCAGAGGAGGAATGGGGAATTGTGCAAATCCCTACAAGTCATTGCATGTCCTCTGGTCTTCAGATGGATGCTGCTAATAGAAACATGCATCCTGCTGCTTTCTAATGACTCAATCAGTCTTCAGTGCCTCTTTTAAAAAATTTAGGTGAAGTTCTTCTTTTTGTTTTAGGTATACAAGATCAATACGAAAGAAGAAAATTTGGCCATTTAATTCCCCAAACGAGCCGTCACAGTTTAGTGTCATTTTTCGAGTGTAATTTTGAAAATTGGGCCTCCACTTGGGAGAAGTGTGCAATGACACCCCAACTTCACCCCCGTAATGTGATCAAACTGAAAAAGGGAATCAGACACAACATTAGCTCTTCGTTAGCCAATCCTCTGACGGGTAGCTGTCCATGTGTGTTCCCTAATTCAGTGAAGTGTGTTCTCCTAATTGCCTTGAAGGTAGTGTTGCTTGTTGCAAAGCTGTACACCTCATCTTGAAAGCAATGGGGTGTCACTTACCATCAGCAATTACAAGATTCAATCATAAACTGCTCAGCCATCTGAAAAATATTAGGATAATCATTTTTTTTTTGGTCCTCTATAAACAAACAAATGCAGGGAACAAAGTAATATGCTGCTGAACAGGCGATAGCTTTTATAGTCCTCTTTGAATTATTCTGAGCTGAGCAGCTGCATTTCTCAGCAATGTCAGAATCTGGAGGACATTACAAAGTGAGATTATATGCGCTGAAAGTTTTTCTTTCATTGCTGTAGACTATAACCTGAAATGGCGTTTCTTTTAGATCAAAAGACTATGACGGACTTTCAGATATTCTGAAAGAGTTAAGACAACGTTTTCTACTTTGAGCTTTTCAGACTTCACACGACAGAAGAGTTGGACAGGTATTGAGTCATACCTGCACTGCATTTTGTTTTTCTGTGAATCTGTCATATGTCCAATCGATGTCATCTCCTGCCGCATGCGAAGTGACAAATCGGCCCTGGCATCGCACCGAAATAGCTTCGCTCTCTCCGAGTCACTCACGTCCAAACTTTGAGCTGTCGTCATCTTGCCAGGACTCGGGTCAGCTATGGTGTTGCTTTTTCTTCTCTGCCATCATTTCACCATCATCATTTAATGACTCACATTTGTCCAAACGCGGAACAAGAAAAACAAGCGATGTGACTGGTACAGTATTCCAACCTGAATGCCAGCTAGAAATAAGATTTGGGGGGGGAGGAATATTTTTTTTAGAGCTGAAACAATTAGTTGATTAATCTATTAGTCAATCAAGAGAGGATTAATTGGAAAAATGTAAAAAGGGAAAATGCAAGCATTCATTCATACCAGTTTCAAATGTGAAGATTTACAGTGTTCCTCATTTTTACATTACCAGTAATAAATTATCTGGGTTTGGAAAAATATATCTTTTTTTTCAAGAATTTTCTAATCACAATTGTTAGACAGTTCAATAGAAATTTGATCATTCAAATAATCAGGAATTAAAACAATCTGTACTTGTAGTCATAATAATTATTAGTAGCTTTAATACATTTTTAAAAAGCAGTGTCCACATAAGCTTTAATTATGTCTATCCTTTGATATAACATCATTTCAGTAATAAATTACACTGATTTTTGGTCTTAGATGTTTTTATTTTTATACATTTCACGCATTGATTTATCTTAATAAATGTTCAGTATTTATTTAGTGGACTTTAAATGTTAAATCCAAGGTAACGTTGCCTCTAGGTGGTGTGTGATGTACCAGAG